AAACTACACATTCATTCTAGACGCCTATCTCGAGATGCCCTCAGTATCCTGAGCATCTTAACATTATAGATGATATAACGATACGGTGGAACGATAGGGCTAGTAACCAACGTTGTCAGATTGTTAAGGTATCGGGAAAATACCCTATACCAGTATTGAGGGGGTTTATCTCTTTGAAGAACGTGAGAGATAAGACCCCGCTTTTACACGCACGCTTAATCTAAGTATTATCGGCTTTAAATACATTAATCAAAGGTTAAATAAACCCCAATTAAAATACATCACGGGATTGAAATATATCCCTGAACTAGTTGGAAAATAGATACCCAATTAAAAATATTTTCCCAGATATATTATAGGCACACAGGATGGGTCTGTACCCAGTCGTAGAGGACGTTTAAAACCCTGGAAACCGTGAGTCGGTTCCGCTTGAGGCAGTTATGTGATGTGAAACGCCAACTAGAACAAGACCGCCGACACACGTGAAAGCACTATGTAAAAGTACCATAGAGCTTGCAATATCGTGGACGGGCTGACACTGCCCTTATGACAACCAGCATGGGACTAGGTGCTGCAGGTGTTGGGTTGTTAGCTACCATCGTGGCTGCACCTATAGTGCTAGGCATTGAAATAACAGCTGGGGTGGCAGGGGTGTTAGGGTTGGCGCTTAAGTTAGCATCACGCAGACTGCATCGTAAGGCATTGAAACACCACCAGATCAGGATTCTGGCTGAAGCAAAGCTGAACACAGTAAGTGAGCGATTTCTACGGCACTCACTGACAGTAAGATCTCAGAGGAGGAGTTTAGTTCAATCCTCTCTGAACTCACAAAATATAACAAAATGAAACAAGAGATTCGATCCAAGTCTCGTAAGTCTACTATCAGCGAGGATGAAAAAAAAGTACATAGAACAAGGGTGAAAAAGCCCGCAAGCCTTTATTACAAACACCAAAGAGATCATAGGCGCATTCACATTAAACTGTTTCATCGAGGTAAACATGGCATAGTGCCATAGCGGCACGTTAGACACAGCCCATGCAATCCCAGGATACCAACACACTCCAGCCATGCCCCCGGCGCGGCTAGGAGGTCCCCCAACTTTTGTAGTAGGGGTAATGGCAGCAAGAGCTAAGGGTCCGACCAAAGCCTTACTTGTGAAATAAGGCTTTGCAGAGGCTTTGGTTGAAAGTGATCCAGAACCGCTTATCGGCCCAAACTTTTCATAGTAGGGGAAATGGTAGCAAGAGCTAAGGGTTGGGACAAAAGCCTTCCGACAAAAAGCCTTATTTACCAAATAAGGCTTTGCAGAGGCCAGTTTGCTTGAAAGTGATCCAGAACCCCCATTGTATATACTCAGTACCAATCTCCCCAGTCCAGACACGCCTATTCTCATAGGTGAGAATGATCTAAGCCTAAGAGAAAAAAGTACCAAGATATGGATTACATCGATATCTTATATTAGGTACAGAGCAAAACCGACCAAGGAAGGATTGCTTTATCTGCGAACATGGGCCGATGACAATTGCTGCGCCAGAACCAAGGGGCCGAATTGATGTAGACCTTCCACGTCTGTAACCGATAGGTCCCTCAGGTAGTGTGAAGCAAACACCGTATCAGATCGCCAAAAACAGCCCTCCATGATGGACTGCAGGGAACAATTTCTGTGAAGAGCCATGGTGGAGGCAAGCGCTCGAGTCTCATGAGAGCCGTACATTTGAGTAGCCAAGCTACCATGACAGCACTGAAGAAGTGCTGAATGTAGGAGGTTCGTGGCATGGAGATGTCAGGAACGTACACATTGTACACAGAGTGATGAAGGCCATATAAATAGTGATTGTAGGAACGTATAATTCGCCAAGTGAAGTGTTGGTCCGCCAGATGGAGTGAGAAAGTTGATAAAAGATAAAGATAAAATTGATGGAATGGCAGAGGTAAAAAAGACCAATGACTCCAGACACATTCGATAAGGAGGCGAAGGTAGTAACATCGATGCCTACGGACAGTCCGGACATAGCTGCAGTGACCTCTGAACTGAGGCCTTCAGCTAAAAAACTGAGTAAACCCAGACAAAGTAAAAGCGTCTGGGCGATTCTGTCTGGCACCCTCGGCAAACTGTATCTCCCCGCTGACTGACAAACTCAACATAATCACCCTACCGGGAATGGCACCCTTCATCATCACTGGCAATTAAAGGTTGGGATAGGTATCCGCTTCGTGGGACCAAGTCTGTCAGGTACTCCTTAATCGATGTATCATCAAAAGTCTCCGGTAAACAAACAGTAGTCCGCCATTGCAAATGCTACCGACAATGCCATAACGACAAAAACTCGGACAACACGGATTTCAATCAACCAGGCGAGTCCCAACCCATAAAATCTGGGTAAAGTGATGCTAGCTACTTGACCAAACATCACTGCTGGTACCACATGCAGAAACTGTGCATAAATAGACCAGCTTGATATTCAGGAATATTGTACGATGCTTCACTGAGTCTTGTTACTATATACAGACTACTCGTAGCAGCTGTGTGGTGTATCACTGGGTGTAGTCGTGGTCTGTTTCGCAAGCCTCAACACCCTTCCTTTCACATCATCGTCAAGTGTCTGGACAAATATGTCAAACCGGGTGGTTGTAGAGCTGATATCTACGTCGAAGGGCAGATAGATTCGATGAATCGAATCATTCATAAAAGGTGAAGATCGGATGGTAGATGATGGAGGAATCTTAAGAATCCGAGATCATTAATCACCGCCGTAATGTAGAGGCCTGCGCTACTGGCATAACTACTACCTCTGTGCAACCAACCGAAACGATGCACTAACTGGAAGCGCCGTACTGGATGAAAGCGTTGACACCTAAGAAAGTGCTGCACCCATGCGGGGATTCGAACCCGGGTCTTCGGCGTGATGAGCCAACGCTTCAACCACTAGGCTACCCCACCGCCCCTTGATACATAAGAGAGCGTCTTGAAGTGGAAGTGAAGCGGCGCTCTGGATGGAAGCGCTGATACATAAGAAAGTGTCACACTGGATGGAAGCGTTGATACATAAGAAAGTGTCACACTGGATGGAAGCGTTGATACACAAGAGAGAGGCGTACTGGTGTGAACGCTCTGTCTGTTCACAAACACCATAGAAGCAGGAAGTGTAATCCCGAAGCCAAGCTGAGCACCGGTTAAAACTGTAAAGTAGAACTGCAGTAGACAAAGTAAACAAACCATGATGACAGTATGCGCATAGAGGGAACCAGATGATTCGGAGAAAGCTGACAGTCCAGCAAACACTGTCCGATTGGCGAATACTGTTGGAGCGGCGATCTGGTATGGTGCAGAGATCAGGATCGATTAGGTGATCTGGTTCGGTACTGTGATGCCGTTGTGTCAAGTGATCAGGTTTTAAAGAGCTGAGTCAATCAGGACCGGTGCATTCGTCTTAAATGTCGTACCATACAGTAAAGGTGTACTGGACTGAAAGGTGTTCCAACCTAACAACAGTTCACTAAGTTGAATCGTTGCCCCAATCGAAAACAGAACAATGGCCCGAAGCGCCGATCCAATCGAAAAGGCACACTGGGTTGAAGTGTTGATCCAATCGAATGTGCCTTCAAGGTACGGGAAAGATGTTGAAAGCACCGCACTGGATGCTACCGTCATGGCTGATGTCACGTATAGGTTGAAGTGCCGAACTGATCCCTGTGGTTGAAAGCGCCGAACTGACTGCACTCGCCACATGAGAGTGAACGGTTTCTCCAATCGAACCCACCATAGCAGAGGGGTGGTGGAGCACTCAACCAAAGCGGTGCACTGGAAACAACCACCTGCCAAGGTAAAAGGCCGAGACTGTGCTACAGAAGTTATTAGCACTGGGTACCACTCTCGGAGCAGATAAAACTTGTCTGGAGACGGGATTAGAAGTTTGATGACAAAAGAGACGACGGAGATACTCGCTCAAGTAGGAGTCTTGAGATCACCTCTTAAAAATCTACGACTAGATGCAACCCGTCAATATTCAGAAAAAACATCATCATTGAAGCATGAACAAACAGAACACTGATGTGACTAACTACAACAGCCTATACAATCCACACGCAAAGCGTGTGGATCAGCAGCGGAAATGTTGCTGTTGCACTGCTCACTGTGTCTGCGTTTCTAAAAAAGAACTTTGATTCCATTTATTTCCCATCTTGACAATCAAACATTGTCTAACTGAGAAAACAACACACGTCCACATGACGTAGCGACAAGAAAGAGAGTGACAGGCACAGGTAGTCACATGATCATCTGAGCCAGCTACACGCTTACGGAGATGATTGACAGTTGCTGATGTCGGAGTGGGGCCAGAGGTCAGGGCGGGTCAGAGGCCAGCAAGACTTGATTCAACTTAGCCTACAGCACGTTTTCACACATGGTCGTAGAAGAAGAGGAGAGAGATAGGATAAGTTTAAAAATTATTACTTTGCTTGGTGATTTTATTTATTTATTTTTTCCTCCATAAAACAAAAAACAAATTGGTCTGACCGAAATTTAAACTAATGAATGAAGTTTTGAATAAAATTAAAGGCCTTGGTTCAAACCTACATACACATGGGGTGTGGTGTCATTGCCTTTCCAAAGGTGTCTTTCAGTGCAAAGCAAAGTAGTATTACATTCCATGAAATATCATAAAATTCACTAATCGGCCATAATGATATTAAGCCATGGCATAAAGAAGTATGTTATGAACTAACTTTTCGAAAGAATTAATAATTCGTCTTTGTGTGTTCACAGTTTCATGAAAGAATACCTATTGTGGTTTGGATAAACAAACAACTATGAACAGAGTCAAACTTGTTGTAGTCAAACCTCACATGTAACTCCACAAATCTTGCAGTCTATCATGAAAGTCCCACTAGGTCATGCATGACAGTGACCGGTCTACAACTGGGTCCGTGCCCATCCTTCGGTATATGGTCTCTGACAGATGCTGTCATGACAAACACTTACATGATTTCTTGTTTTCAGAAAATGAGGAGGTATCACCTAAAGACAATGAAAAAAGACTGGCAGGTCAAGATACTGAAGGTAAGTTATTTATTATGTTACTAAGTGGTTTGGAGACTGAAAAGTGCTTCCGTGCTGCTGGTTGTGGGGAGATAGTGAACATGGTGCCAGAGTTGACTGGTTATAACTTCATTTTACATGAACAGAAAAACAATTTTCTACATATAGTTGGCAGGCAACAGAGAATCGGTACAACTCCCTGGGCTGAGGTCTTGACCTAACCTTAGAACATCTTTTAACAGTGTAGACCTAGCTTTGAATAGTTGGTTGGTTGGTTGGTTGGTTGTTTAACGCCGCTCTCAGCAATATTCCAGCTTTAAGGTGGCATTCTGTAAATAATCAAGTCTGGACCAGACAATCAAGTGATCAACAGCATGATGACATGTGTCAACCAAGTCAGCGAGCCTGACCAACCGATCTTGTTAGTCACTGCTTACGACAATCATTGGTTACTAAAGACCAATTCTAACCCAGATCTTCACAGGGAGCTTTGAATAGTGTGTTCAAGAGATGGGTTGTGTACCTTTGCCTTTCTTTCTCTGTCTCAGTAAGTCAAATATTGTTTAAAGGGGAATTGTCCCTTACAACTATATAAGCAGGGCTGTCACTGTGAGTGAGTGAGTGAGTGAGTGAGTGAGTGAGTGAGTGAGTGAGTGAGTGAGTGAGTGAGTGAGTGAGTGAGTGAGTGAGTGAGTGAGTGAAGTTTTACACCACTTTAAGCATTATTCCATGGCACGGGGCACCAGTTATTGGCTTCACACATTGTACCCATGTAGAGAATACCCCAGCCAACAGACTACCCCAAATGATTTTGTCAAAAAAAGCGAAAAGCTAAACAAAAACAAAAGGCACAGTTTCTCTCCATTTAAGGTCATATTAAAACACCAAAGACATATGGCAGTACTCTCTTTTCTTGTCTAACAGTCATACATTACTAGTTTCAGGACCACCAGGATCACCAGAATCACTTCAGCAAGAGGGAGAACAGCCGGTAAATCCTTGCAGTGGTAAGTTATAGTTCGCTTTGAATTTTACAAGGAAGAAGTGAGGATTTTCTATATTTTTCCCTGCTAGATAAAGATTATAAAACCTGTACAGGAATTTAGTTGGAGTGGGTTGGTGTCTTCTCAACATTCATTGTGTCCAGGTATCCTGACTGGACATGAATATCAAATGAGTCTCTTTCTTTCAACGTAAAGTTAGGATGCTTTATCCTGATTTCAAAACTCATAGGGAGGGAGGTTTTATGTTGCTTTCAGCAATATTCCAACAATATCAGGGTGGGAGACACCAGAAATTGGCTTTACACATTGTACCCATGTAGGGAATTGAACCCGGGTGTTCGGAGGGATGAGCGAATGCTTTACAAGGCTACCTCATCACCCATAAACCATGTACGAACTATTGGTGAAATAATAAAATCCTATCTTAGTTTATTGGATCCATTTGTAATTGAGATTAATGAACTGTAACTTGTAGCAGAATGAAGTGTGGTCGACAAAAAGTAACAATGAAACCATTTTTGTGATACATCTGATAGATGTATTTGACAAGACACCCAAATCAACGGCAAAATATGTAATATTAATACATTTTTAAGAAATATGATAAATTTTCTGATAGACTTCGATAACAAAGGACTTACTTTCACATGTAAAGGATTATGTTTACTGGAAAATGGATAAATTGTGAATTTCTCACATGCTGCTACTTTCTTTACAAGAGTTATGTATTGGCAGATGTTTTGTTTTGATGGTTACTTTAATTCCAACTTGATGAGAGAATTTCTGTCTATAATTTCTGTCTATTAAAACTGACCGTCTGCATACAAGAATAGTTATTGAGCTATTCTCAATAGCAAAATGCAGCAGTTTCAAGAAAAAATACCAAGTACTCTTAGCGTATTGGCAGGTGTCCAGGTATCCTGCATGGACATTACTATGAGTCTCTTTCTTTCAAAAGTTGGGATGATTTATCATGATTTCAAATCTCAGAGGAAGGGAGGTTTAATGCAGACGTGCTTTTAGCAATGTTCCAACAATATCAGGACGGGAGACACCAGAAGTTGGCTTACACATTGTACCCAGAAGGGAATCGACCCAGATCTCCGGCGTGATGAGCATAAGCTTTACAGGGCTACTTCAACACCCATCAACCATATACAAACTAATGGTCAAGTGGTAAAATCCACACTAAGTCTATTGGAACCATTTGTAATTGAGAAGAATGTAGTGAATAAAGCACAACACTATGACCTGAGTCAAAATCAAACTGGTTGCCATGGAAATGTACAAAACATATACTCGTAACAACCAAAGTAGCACAAGGCTCCATTTGATGTGATTTTTGTGTGTTCACAGTTTCAGGAAAGAATACCTATTGATTTTAGAGATGTGGTTGGGATAAACACACCACTAGGAACAGAGTCAAACCTGTTGTAGTTAAACCTCACATGTAACTCCACAAATCTTGCAGTCTCTCATGAAAGTCCCACTAGGTCATGCATGATAGTGACCGGTCTACAACTGGGTCCGTGCCCATACTTCGGTATATGGTGTCTGACATATGCTGTCATGACAAACACTTACATGATTTCTTGTTTTCAGATAATGAAGAGGTATCACCTAAAGACAATAAAAAAAACCTGGCAGGTCAAGATACTGAAGGTAAGTTATTTATTATGGTACCATGTGATTATGAGACTGAAAAGTTCTTCCATACTGCGTTCTGCTTGTGGGGAGATAGTGAACATGGTGCCAGAGTTGACTGGTTATAACTTATTTTGACATAAACAGAAAAACAGTTGTCCACATGGTTTTATTGAGTTCTCTCACACAAGATACATCCATGCACGCCATGTGCTTTTACTCGACATTCAATAAATGTTCCGGAAACAGGTGGTGCTGAGCGTGAGGCATCCGGTCCTGCGCTGTTGCATGCGAAGCATGCAAACTTCCAGTTCGGGGATTTATTATGCTAGTTAACAATCTCCCCTTAAAAAAATATATATTTTTTTAAGTTGTCGAGTTGGCGTAATAGCATTCACAAATTAAAAACATATCTATGCACTGATATATACATGTGAAGTATTAAATAATTTTTTTGTTGCAATTTTTAAAAGTAGAAATTAAAAATGGACTGGTTAAAAAATTTAAAGTTCAAATGTTGAAAGTGCCTTCAACCAGTCTGAGAGCTAGTAACATCAGGACTAAGACACAGTTCAGTTCTTTCACTTGTATCTAGGAATGTTTTATTGTCGTTAGGTCCAGGGTTCCATCATGTATCGCTTTCAATAATAGAAGCGATGAGGCTCCATGCTTTGTGAAACAGTCTGCAAGTTGATCACTGGTAGGAGACCAATGCACACCAGTAATTTGATCATTTCCAATGAGTTCTTTGATTCCACTTATCTCAAGTCTCAGACGTTTGTCAGACACAAACTTTGTGGACTTAACTGCATCGAAGAGAGAGTGGTTATCTACAATGCACTGTATCGGAAGTCTTGCTTCGTCAGTCTCACCAGTTGTAACCTATGAATAGAGGGTGCTGAGGAATATTCCGTTATCTATTCCATCCGCCAATGCAAGTCTTTCACCCGCTAACGTGCTTCTCACAACACGCCTGATTCTCTTTCATTACCAACACAAAGGGGAAAACTTGCTGTCATCTCCCAGCAGCATGACGATATGACCACCTTGTGTCGCCCCATCAGGCAAGTTGCCCAAAGAAGCATCACTAAACACCACTAAACGTAGAGATTCACAGGGTCCAAGATGTTGGAACTTCAGGGTCACATCTTCATTTTTCAGTTTTCAGTTTTCTGATGACTTTATTGGCTTCCATCATATTTTTCACCATAGCTTTGTTCATTGACGAAGCCAGGCAGCATGCATCAAAAACTATGTTCGGTCTGCTCTGTCGTGCTATCTCAAGTTCAGACGTGCTCAGGAATGCTTCCTTCTTTGACATTCTATCCTTATCTATGTTCAGACAAGTCAGGTTTCTCACGTAGTCATGTTGATGAAGAAGAATAGTCTCATTGTCACAGAGTAGTTTCATGCCGACATACTTGAAGGTGCTCTGTTCTTCTCGTCCAACATTGAATGACTCTCTAATAGATGCAATGACAGTTTCTTCAAACTCTAAAGTACCGCCCCAAACAAAATCGTCCACATGGCTAGCAAGCACACCTTGCAGTTTTCCATTTGATATGAAATAGAACACTGCGGGGTCAACTTTAGATACTCTTGCCCCACTAGACTGCAGAACTTCACAGACCCTGGTATACCAATACAGTGATGCATCTGCCAAGCCATAAACACATTTCTGTAGTTTCCACAGGACTCCTTTCACCTGAGCTTTCCTTGGGTTGCGAAGGTAAACATCTCTGGTTAAAGCTGAGCCCTGTAAGAATGCTGTCTTGATGTCCATGGAGCATGGGGTCCATTTCTGTTGTGCCATAATGGCTAATAACAGCCGTAAAGATTATGTTGAACATGTTGGAGAATCTTTTGGCAGGTTTCTGTTCTCTATTTCTTCGCATCCTCTGGCAACCAGACGACCTTTGGGAATAATTTTCTTGGAACTTTCTTTCAGAGTGCATATCCACCTTGTTGTTATATATTTCTGTCCATCATCCTGAACTTCAACAAACACATTGTTCTCTCTCCAATTCTGTAGTTCAGCCCTTTTAGCTTCATCAAAGGATACATTGTCAACAACACAAACATTTTCTTCTTCTTCAACATGGTCAGCATCTTGGTGATGATCATGAGAAATATCCAGCTCCAAATCACCCAGCTTACTAATGTCAACAGATATTCTTGCTCCTGAAACGTCATCTGGGCTCAAATACTCAATATTGTACCAGTCTTTGTTTCTACCTGTTGACTTGCCAGCTCGACTCAACACTTTGGCTATACACATATTTCCTGTCCTTTCATCACGGAATTTCATCACATGTCCAATGTTTGGTCTCTGACATGGTTTGTCTTTTTCCTCTTCATAATCATGATAGTCTTTATTTTCATCCTCCACTTCAGCAGTTTCTGGTTCCAGAGTCTCTTCTTCTCTTCCAGAGTCTCCTGGTCAGTATTTTGCTTTGTCCTGTGAACATTCTCCGGCAGCATTTCCGCAGTCGACTATGATGTAATCTGACATGTGAGCCCCCATGTCTAACAAAGACAACTGCTCCATCTTGACCAATGACGACACCTGGTCCTTTCCATTCCATCTGGTCAGGACGTTTGTAATAAACTCAATCTCCTCTGTCATATTTGGTCTCTCCACATGTGCGGATCTGTTTCCGAAGTGCTCCACGTATCCTTTCTGAACTTTCTGCCTCTGTAAAGGCCTTTCTTGCTGAATGCAGGGCGTTGATGTGAGATCGAACTATTTTGCTCATTGTCTTTCCTTCAAGTGCTGGGGGTTTGTCGCATAAGACTGATGGCAAATTGGGATTCTGCCCAAAAACTAACTGGCATCGGCTATATCCATGAACATTCTGCAGAGAGTTCTTGGCCATCAAAGCCCAAGCAATTGCAGTTTCCCAGTCACAATCATTCTCCCGTTTCACTTTCAGCAACATCTGTGTGAGTGTTTGGTTGTGTTGTTCCAATAGTCCATTACTCCAAGGGCTATAAGCTGCAGTAGTCTTCACAGTGATATTGAAATTTTCTGCCATGTCCCTCACTTCCGAATTATTGAACTCCCCTCCATTGTCACTGTACAATTTTCGTGGTGGCCCATGAATTCCAATCCAGTATCGAATGAAATTTGCAACAAATTCTGAAGCTGCCTTCGATCTGGTTATACATCCTGCGGTGAAGCGTGTAAATTCATCTATGATGTGGAGGTACCAGATGCCCTGTCCTAATTCATGTAGGTCAACAGCCACTGTCTCATTATATTCTGTCGCCAGTGGAAACCCTACAATCGGTTTTATACAGGGTCTTTTATGCTGCATGCAAATGTCACACTTTCGGACGATTTCTTCTAGTATAGTGAATGTCTCTACATCCTGACTTCCGGCGCTCTTCAACAGCTGTTTTAGTCTATCACTGGACGCATGTCCAAACTGGCGATGAAGTTTTGTTAATGTCTTCTTCTTTTCTTCAGTTGTCATACAGTCGGTGACCTTAAGTACTTCATTTTCTGTTACACTCTCTTCACTGGGCTCTCTCTGTTCTCTTCTGTTTAGGATATTGACACAATAGTGTCCACTTGATGTAAAGTCTAAGGCCACAGGCTGTCCAAACATGACTGCACTATCATTCATCAGATCGAGAATGGTTCCAGCTTTCTTAAGAGATGACTTACTGAGAAGTAAGGGCAAGTCTACCTTAACTACTTCTGTCTCAATATTACAGGTTGTTTTTCCAATTCTTGCAGGCAAAGAAACAGTCTGATAAGAATACACAATATTTCCATCGCCAAACTTGAATGCCTTATTACTCGGTTTCTTCTTTACCAAATCCCTATCTTGGCGGTCAATTTCTGACATGTAACTTTCAAGCCACTTCTTTCCACAGACAGTTCTTGTGCATGCTGTATCAATGATTGCCGACCCCTGAGATTCTACCACAAAAAGTTCAAAATCTGTCTTGTACTGTTCTTTTGTAAACAATGTGATGTTACAATGTTCAACATTCTCAGGCACACTGTCAGGATGAATTTCTTCTGTAAGAAGAACCGATTCTTTCTTCTCTGGACAGTCTTTTACCCAATGATATGTACTCTGACAGACAGCACACCGGGACCGTTTTCCAAACTTATTGATAGGGTTTGTACCTCTCGCTGGTGCATTATTCTGTGAGTTACTTGAGCTTAAACTGTTCCTGTCATAGGGTTTCTTGTCATAACCTCGATTCCTCTGTCCTGACTTATGTTGGGTCCAATATGCAGATTCTTGTTTAATTTGGATTGCTTCTGTTCCTATGTTCTGGTTCATACTGCCCCCAAAGATTCTTTTCATGGCACTCTTCATAGAAGCAAACGACAAATCTCCACAAGCTGTCAGTGCTAATTGTCTTTCTTTTACTTCTAAATTTGCATTGTCCAATAGTTTGAATGCTAATACTGCATCTGATAGAGTCATATCAAACTTTTTTGACCTGTTGTACCTCTGTTCGAATTCCAAAATATATTCAGTCATATTCACACTGTCTAATTTCTTGAAATTTTCAAAGTTCGAATAGGCTTCATATGCACTTTCTTTCTTTTCTTTCAAGAATGCACCATCCAAGGAATTAAGAAGTGTATCCATTCCATTTTCATTATCTAAATCGTTGGCTGGAATTTCTAATGCTTTGTCTCTCGCCTTACCTGACAATGATAATGTTACCGCTAAGGCCTGCTTCTCGGGTTTCAGTTCCGTAATTCTCCGCCATATTGCTATCTCAGTCTTCCATTCGTCATACGTTTGACTTTCAAACTTCGGTGGCATTTTGTAGAATGTAGCCATTTTCTGTTGTCTACACGCACACTTTCGCTTTCTGTGTCCAACTTTTGGTTACGCTCTGCTACCAATGTTAAATGGTTTTATTTAGTTCTCTCACACAAGATACATCCATGCACGCCATGTGCTTTTACTCGACAGTCAATAAATGTTCCGGAAACAGGTGGCACTGAGCGTGAGGCATCCGGTCATGTGCTGTTGCATGCGAAGCATGTAAACTTCCCGTTTGGGGATTTATTATGCTAGTTAACACACATATAGTTGGCAGGCCATAGAGAATTGATACAACCCTCTGCGCAAAAGGCTAGACCTAACCTTTGAGCATTTTGTACCGTGTGGACATAGCTTTGAATAGTTCACTGTTGGTTGGTTTGGTTGGTTGGTGTGTTGTTTAACGATGCTATATGGCAGCAGTCTGTTAATAATCAAGCATGGCCAGACAATCCAGTGATCAACAGCCTGAGCATTGATCTACGCAACTAGATTATGATGACATGTGTCAACCAAGTCAGCGAGCCTGACCACCCCGATTCTGTTAGTCGCCTCTTACGACAAGCACCAGTACCCGTCTTCACACACTGTACCCATTACGGATTCGAACCTGGATCATCGCCCCACACCAAAGTAGTGAACATCTGACTTCCTTGAACAATAAGTGACATTCTGACATAACAGAAATGCAGTTTGAAGTGGTGTTAAATTCACTGCTATCACTTGATCAATGTTGATATTTTAAGTTTTATGAACCAATTTTCTACTTGTTTACAGATAGGAACTGTTCTACTCAGTAAGTAAAGTATTTTCATATCATAAAGAGTTTTCTAAATGGTGCTGTATTTAGCAATGGTCATTAAAACACCACTTACATAATAATTTGTTAAACAACTTTTCCTCTTCTTCATGGCAATGTCGTAAAATATAGCAACAATTTGGTTATCCTTCATGCCATTTAAGACGATTTGTTGCTTTCACATTTATATTTGTTTTAGTATTTCATCGGTAAGATTTTGCAGCAAACAGAGTATAGTACTTGGAGCTGCTTGAGCTTGCAAGGATTAACCCTAGACTGAAACTATGTTTTGCATAATGGAGTTTATTCTAAAATATGATCTTTACCCCCCTGTGCCAAGTATTTTGGGAATAAATATAACAAAATAAAATATGTCCTGATGAATGAGTAAGCAACTTCTTTATTCCGCACAGGCAATGTTTTAACATAGATTCTAATGTTGTTGTCAAGCAAGTGGTGTATGACAAGTAATTTGAGATGTTTATACAATAGAGGGATGAGGCAAAAATGTGATTGTTTATACAATGGAAGAGGTTGATAACACAGATAGATTAACTAGGTTGATTCGAAGCCAGTTTAGAAGACATACATAGGTTGTGTACATAAGAGACAAGATGTCGATTGACAGCCAGAATAGAATGATGTACATAGGTTGTTTACATGGAAGATTAAGGACATTGTTTCAAAGCCAGTAGTGAATTACACCAAAGATAATGTACAACGTTTGAGTAAAGTTACTGGAAATTAATTCAGTCGGTGATGATAGGCCTTGGGGATGAAATATCCTTCATCTCTGTTGACAGCAGGGCTAATCTTGATGTGGACAGCTCTAATATAGGATTCACTGCAGTCACATTCTATACTACCCATCAAAAGTTTAGACTCCCTTAAAGCACTCACAATATGTTCTGTGTATATGTATATGGTTACATTGAAGACAAATTTGTCCACTAACTTGGGGGAATCAACCGCAAACCTTACGCAGATGAAATGCACGAGGATCATGCATCAAATTGCTGAAAAGCATGTGCAAATATTGTGCATGTGAACAGCTGCATCGTGGTGTAAAGTTTTGTTAAAAACTCACCAATTTTCACTGAGTTTCATCATTTCTTGAACTCATGACAATAATCTTTTCAACACTATGAATTTGTTTTACAACATATCAGTTCATGTGTAAACAGTATCTTTAAACAGTATGGAATATTTTGCAAAATCTAGTTGAGAACAGTTGACTGAAGTAAGTGGCTACATTTACACTAGTGAATCTAAACTTTTGATGGGTAGTATATCTGGTAGACGACACCTGCTGGATCTGGCTCCTTTGTTGGGGTGGGTCTGCCTGTGGCCTGCAGGAGGTTCTGTATAGTGTTGCCTATTTGGAAGATGACATCAATGTTGAAGCTGCTTAAGGAGTCGTCGGATGTGATGGCTAGTTGGTCCAATGTAGGGGAGGCTGATGGTGAAGGGGGATGCTTGTTGCATTGATTGTTGGGGAGCCGTAGCGTTAGGGTTGAGGGTGTTGTTGATGGCCTGCTTGACGAAAGATGCAGGATATTCGTTATAGTTGGTAAAGACATGTCTGAGGTGGTCCAACTCGGTGTGTAGGGATGTGGGTGTGGAGCAGATGTTCTTGGATCGTCTGGTTAGGGTGGAGATTATCCCCCTCTTGACGTGGATAGGGTGACAGGAGGAGAAATGGAGATACTGGTCCGTATGGGATGGTTTGCGGTAGACGCTGGTGTTGAGCTTCTTGTCATCTCTCTGGACCAAGACATCTAGGATGGGAAGCTGGTTGTCTGTTTGGAGCAGTATGGAGCAGTATGGGGGGCGTGGAAAGGGGCAGTATTGTAATGTTCAGATGAGGAATTTGGCACTGATGTAATCTTCATGGGCCTTGATGGTGGCTCGGGCATAGGGCAGCTGTGAGTGCTGGACCAGGAGTTCATCGTGGAGGGTTGAATCTATCTCGTTGTTGTCTGGGAGTCGCTTCAGCAGGGATCGGTGTTCCCTCTGCAGTTGGGCAGTCGGGTCCTTCTTTAGCTGCTGGTAGGTGTTGTTGTCATTCAGGATGTTGTCAGTGAGGGTCTGGAAGTGGGATGTGTCCATTATGACAACTGCTCCATCTTTGTCAGCTGGGGTCAGCTCTGAGTTTCCTCACGATCTCCCTTTCAGCATTGTTCAGGTTATCTTTTGTTATTGCATTGATAATTTTTTGCCATTGTTCATGTGTCCTCAACTGGCTTCCAATCAACCTGCTTAATCCTGTGTACCATCTGTGTTATCAACCTCTTGTTGTTGTTATTGTATAAACAACTCCTCAAAATAAAGTTGTATATATCCATAAAAATTGTCCTCATTCTTCATCTCCTCAACTTCCAGAACGCCAATCAAAGAAGTCAAAAGCGTCATCAACCTTAGCAGCAGAACCCTCAACAGCCAAGAACTCGCAGTCCTTTCCAAAGGGCTTAACTTTGTACCCACTGTGCCCCAAAACAATGTCATGTTCTTTGTCCATGTGGAGAAAGGTCTTCAACAACTAAAGCCATGTGGTGCGATCAACTCCCTGAGACACCAGATTGTAAACATTCTGAAAAAGGGAGATGCAGGAAATGCAATAACAACAGATAACCTGAACAGTGCTGAAAGGGAGATCGTGAGGAAACTCTCAGATGACACCGATATCACCTTTGTCCCAGCTGACAAAGACAGAGCAGTTGTCATAATGGACAAATCCCACTTCCAGACCCTCACTGACAACATCCTGAATGACAACAGCACCTACAAGCAGCTAGAGAACGACCCGACTGCTCGACTGCAGAGGAAACACCGAGCCCTGCTGAAGCGACTCCTAAAAGACAATGAGATAGACTCAACCTTCCACAAGATACTCCTGGTCCAGCACCCACAGCCGCCCTATGCCCGAGTCACCATCAAGATCCATAACGATGACATCAAAGCCCGCCTCCACATCTGCACAAGTAATACTGTACATCACAATACTGCCCTGTACCTGTCCAGACTGCTCGCTCCACTAGGGAAGACAGCCAAGTCCTTCATTGCTGACTCCAGCGAGTTCTGCAAGAAGATCAGCACCATTACTGAACCCGGCAAGTTGCTAAGCTACAAGGTGGTTGATCTTTTCACCAATGTTCCCCGGGAAGAAGCCTTCGCCGTCATTAGATCCAGAGTCAAGGACTCCACCCTTGACACCAACCTTTCTCCTGACAGCATCATAGACCTCATCAATGGATGCATCACTTTCACCTACTTCACATGGAGAGATCAAATAATGCAACAGACCCATGGCCTCCCTACGGGTTCCCCACTATCCTCCCTCATCTCCGAGATCTACATGACTCACCTAGAAGAAACCGCCCTTGACACGTTCCCAGTCCAACCCACCTGCTGGTTCCGTAAAGTAGATGATACTTTTGTCATCCTTCCTCCATCTGACGACCCCAACGTCCTTCTCCAACACCTAAACTCCCAACATACCAGGATGCAGTTTACAATGGAATTGGAAGAAGACAACCAACTTCCCTTCCTAGATGTCTTGGTCCAGAGAGATGACAAGAAGCTCAACACCAGCGTCTACCGCAAACCATCCCATACGGACCAGTATCTCCATTTCTCCTCCTTTCACCCTATCCACGTCAAGAAGGGGAAAATCTCCACCCTAACCAGACGAGCCAAGAACATCTGCTCCACACCCGCATCCCTAGACACCGAGTTGGACCACCTCAGACATGTCTTTACCAACTATAACGAATATCCTGCAACTTTCGTCAACCAGGCCATCAAAAACACCCTCAACCCTACCGCTAAGCCTCCCCAACAAGCAGCCCCCTTCACCATCAGGCTCCCCTACATTGGACAAACTAGCCATCACATCCGACGACTCCTTAAGCAGCAAGCCAACATTGATGTCATCTTCCAAAGAGGCATCACCTTACAGAACCTCCTGCAGGCCACAGGCAGACCCACCCCAACAAAGGAGCCAGATCCAGCAGGTGTCGTCTACCAGATAGAATGTGACTGCGGTAAATCCTACATTGGTGAAACCAAAAGACCACTCACCATTAGGATTAAGGAACACCGGGCCAAAAAATCTAAATTTCCAACTGCCGTAGCTCACCACCTTAAAGACAACCCAAATCACGAGATCAAATGGGACAACATAAAGGTCCTCGAGAGGAACCAGGCTGATTGCAAAATCCGAAAACTACTTGAAGCTGTCTACATCAAGAAGATCAGACCTGCTATAAACAAACAGAAAGGAAGTCCCATCCACAAGGACTATGACCCTTTACTGAATTAATTTCCTGACAGTACATGTTGTATTTCATTTTTATCATTGTTATTGTCAAGTGTTATCAATAGTATCTAAACTACTTTGGATTGCTGTACTATCTTATCATTTATAACACACCTATTCTGCTCCTTGTGAACTCTGCAAATATATCATGGTTAACCACCTGTATTTGTATGTATGTTTTAAAGAGATTGTGGTCAATCAACTCTATAGTCAATAGAAAATCAAACAAAGAAGAAAAAAACAAAAACAACAACGAACTCAAGAATATCCAGGGCGAGCTCTGGTCCCTTCAGGGGCGGTGGGGTAGCCTAATGGTTAAAGCGTTCGCTTGTCATGCCAAAGAAGGGTGTTCGATTCCCCACATGGGTACAATGTGTGAAGACCATTTCTGGTGTCGCCCACCATGATATTGCCAGAATATTACTAAAAAGCGGCGTAAAGCGTAACTCACTTACTCTGGTCCCTTCGTCACTTCAGAGTGGGGACAGACACTTTGCCAGGAAGGGGTGGGGTGAGAGAGGGGTGGGGGTGGGGATTGTATTACTGGCATAAAATTAGGATACTTATTTAGATAATTGATATATAATTGATATGAAGACTAGATCATTATATACAGATAATCAAGAAATAAGATGGAACAAATGGAACTATGGTTTAATAATCTCTATGGTAGAAATTCTGTAGCTAGGGGCACAAAAGTAGGTTTGTTAAATATTAAGTCAGCCAGGAGGGGTGACTATATATTTGTGCAAAGTTGATGTAGAAAATGGAAAATATATTGTGTTACCAGGGTTACAACATCTGAGTCAGGCACCTTCATGTCAGAGGTGTGAGTAGCAGGAGTTCTTGGAATCATGGAGGATATACATATGGTTATAGACAAAGTAATACTGGTATTCCTGGAACTCACCGCACAATCTTACAAATAAGGTATTAGGGGAGTGAGTGAGTATGGTTTTACGCCGCTTTTTTGTAATATTCCAGCAATATTATGGTGGGGGACACCAGAAATGGGCTTTACACATTATACCCATGTGGGTCTGCTGCATGACGAGCCAACGCTTTAACCACTAGGCTACCCCGCCGGCCCAAGGTATTAGGGGTAAAGCAAAGGAAGGGGGCAGCAGTCTGCAGCAAGGGGAAAGGGTTGCTGTCCAAATAAAGACATGGAAATGTTTTTGGCTGTGACATAGGAACCCAGTCTTAAGGTGGAGCAAAGCTCACGATAGTCAGTCTGGTGTGCACCCACTGGTGATGGTGGATCACTAAAAACTTTTGATAGAAACTATTTGATAGCACCAGCAATTTTGGCTTTGATATAGTGACATAGAGTGGGTTGACCAGCAACACAGTGTTAATAAAACTGTTGCACGAAACATCATCGTCTTGTATTTGGTGGAGGAACTACGGTAAAGGTCCGAGGGCCCGAGGGTGCTGACACGGTACCTCTCACACATCCCCAGATGGTCAGAACTGAAGTACGGGGGTATATCGTACTTCTTGTCTCTTATGTACACAACCTATGTACAGCATTCTCTACTGGCTGTCAATCGACATCTTGTCTCTTATGTACACAACCTATGTACATCATTCTATTCTGGCTGTCAATCAACATCTTGTCTCTTATGTATACAACCTATGTACATCATTCTATTCTGGCTGTCAATCAACATCTTGTCTCTTATGTATACAACCTATGTACATCATTCTCTACTGGTTGTGAATCAACATCTTGTCTCTTATGTACACAACCTATGAACATCATTCTATTCTGGCTGTCAATCGACATCTTGTCTCTTATGTATACAACCTATGTACATCTTCTAAACTGGCTTCCAATCAACCTAGTTAATCCTGTGTTAACAACCTCTTCTATTGAGTAAACAATCTCAGTTTCGCCTTAACCCTCATCTACTGTATAAACATCTTATATATCACACAAATTACTTCTCATACACCAATTGCTTGACCATGACATTAGAAACTATGGCGAAATGTCGCCTACACAGAAATAGAGGATATTATATGGGTGCCCATGTCATGCTATGTTTACGACACGAGTGCCTAAATTTTGGTATTTCCCGAGCGAGAGTGAGGGATATACCAATATTTAGGCACGAGTGTCGTAAACATAGTATGACATGGGCACGAATATAATATTCTGTTTATTACCGAAGTCATCAAATTGAGGAAAATAAATCCAAATCTACTTTCAAACATAGGCTGGCTACCCGCCGTCACCGCATGTAGAACGCAACGTCACAGTAGATATGTGACGTCATAGCATTGTTCATGACGTCACGTAACCATGACAAAGTGATATTTTGCCCTAGGGCATCGTATGAAAAATATGAACCCCGATATGTTCGCCCTCGTAGGTAATAACAAACAAGATGTACATCTATAAAAATTGTCCTCATTCTTCATCTCCTCAACTTTAAGAATGTCAATCAATTACAGAAGAAAAATATGTCTTTCCTGTATGATGTGAAAATATCGTAGAAAATAGATTTGCAAATTTTAACTATAAATAGGACAAATTTGTGGATAACAACTTCTTATATTCGTGACTGCGACATTTCGATACAGATTCTTGTACGGTTGTCAAGCAGCTTTAAACGACAATGGTACAAGAATCTGTATCGAACCGTCTCACTCAAGAATAAATGAAGTTGTTATTAATAAAGTTTGTCCAATATTGTACTCCCCAACTTCTAAAATGTCCCTCAAAGAAGTTATTTATAAATTGTATATTTACATACTTATCCTCTTTCATGTCTTGTACTCTGTCTCATGATTCTACATCTAAGTGGAAACGAACTGTAAACAAAGTTTTTAACCACTCTTGCACCATTCACACGAACACACCCCACTGCTCCTGACAGCCTCTGGCAGCTTCTCCATGCCGTATGCCCTCTGGTTGATCATGTGACTCGTTTGTCTGGTCAAACTTTTCTTGGAGCAATAGTCATAATCTGTGTTGTGGGGTTGGTCGGGCGGGTATCCCCAGATAGCAATGTCCGTTGGACCAACATTGGCCATCATTGGGCCTACGTTGGCCAATGTTGGCCCAACGAACATTGCTATCAGGGTCCATTGTGTGAGGCAGGATAAGTATATGAATATTTATAGTAAATATTCATAGGAAATTTATTGTAAAAAGCTTTAAACTCATCCTGTCTCACGTCTTGTACATATCCTATGGTTTCACGGTGGTCCGCAGATAATCCAGTGTCTGTAATTTGCATGATAACCATGGAAAGTGATAACATGTAGAAGGATACCTGTTACGACTGTAATCTGACAAATGTTAGCTGCATAACTCCCGTATTTTGATGGGTTGCTTCTTCTGAAACCCCTTGGCTTACTCAGCACAATTCCCAGGGAGTGGGCACCGCCGAATATATGTGGTTTTCTGTCACAACTGTTGTTCAAAACAAAAGGACGGATGTAATGTTTCCAAGATTGAAGAACAACAGGAGAGGCCAGATTCCAGTCAATTTGTATTTCGCATTTGCACATATCATCGCAGTCCAAAGTTCAATCCCCTCACGGGCAAACAGTCTCACAATCGTAACGACACAGACTTCAACGTTTGACCCGTTCGTGCTGGCTCTGTTAGTGCTACTGACTATAAAGTACGTGCAACATTATGCTGTATCAGAGTACACCATGACTTGGAAATTCGCAAAACCACATCGCACTCATATTTTCCGCTCGCTTCAAGCATCCATACACAAGGGAGCTAACTCCCATGTATCAAACTGTCAACTGCTAAGAAACTTGCCGTTACAACGGAGCTAATCAGGTTTCCCCACCTCACACCGATTTCAAGAAAAAAAACCTGAGTAACATAAAGTCTTGCGACTCTAATCGGACCAGCCCAAACTTCAAAACCGTCTCCCACGATCACACATAAAAGGTGAAAGATGAAATGGCTCAGTAAGCTCAACTGTTTAACATTTAGTTCAGAACAACACCATTTAACTCCTGCTAATGATGTGTCTACTAACTTATGAGCAAAAAGCTTTGAAATCACTGGATTTCGGTATTCACACTTCACTGACATGATTGCTTGTTACAGTAGAGGTCAGTAAGCATGAGTGTTAATCACATCTGCATTCTAGTAAAAAGATTGTTCTTCTCGATCCATGATGAAGTTGCTCACTGGTAACTACTACTGGCCCAGCTGTCAATCAAGGTGAGGTAGATCTAAGCCCCCCCCAAATTAGAACGACAATGAAATAGAACAAATACAGATTTATTACATACATGCAAGGTAGCATCGAACAGAGTTGACGGACCGAGGATAGCTGCTGTGCCAGTACCAAGGCACCGAGTTCCACTTTCGTCACTGATAGGGCACGTAAGTAGTGGGACGCAAAAACTTCCTAAATCATCCGTCCATGATCAAAGTCAACGAACAGTTGCTATGTAAAGCCATCATGGACACTCAAGTTCATGAGGATTCGACGCAGCTGGAAGAGGGACTAGAAAGTGTTTCTCCCCCTTCCCCCCATTCAATGTTGAGACCTCAAAGAATTCATTTGAAACTCAACCCAAAACATTATGTCTCCCGACTCTTCATGGGGGGAGACATAATTCCAGCAAAATTGTGAGCTTGTAGAATAGTCATTCTCATCCAAAACAATGATGTCACTCGTGAGACTTCTGCTGATGAAGCTGTAGAAAGTGGGATAAACATATGCTTACATAGTCTCTGACGGTCTTGATAGGCAGTGATGCAGATCTGTAAAGCGTTGATCCAAACAGTGCCATTTTCCATAAAAAATGTCCGGATAGTGAAAAGTTGCAGAAGCCGACTAAATGGATTCTGTGGTCTGGCTTGGTGAGGATAGATGCTCATGACGTCAGACACTGCATTGTGTGTTCCAGGTTTCAGTATTCAAAGTCTGATATCATACCTCTGTAAAATTGCAGAGTGAAGCATCAAATAACAGTCTATAACATTGAACATTGCGATGAGATGAAGGGAGACAAGACTGTTCAGCCTCTTGGCTGATGCTCCAGTGAGAAGAGTGAAGAGTCATGATAGAGGAAGGGAGATAACTCTGTTCAGCCTCTTTGCTGATGCTCCAGTAGGAAGCATGAATTATAGAATAACAGAGTCAACATGTTGGATCATAACAGTAAAATATCACATACAGACAACAGCTGCCATCATAAGCTATGTCATGATGATAAAGGGTATGATTGAAAGATATTTTGCTTGGAATGACTTTTATCAACACTGTAATTAAGTGTTTAGCATGGGTAAGGTGCTGTCAAGTCCAGAAAGATAATCAGGGTGAATCTGGGGTGAATCTGGGATTTGAACACATGATCGAAGGATTCTGACACATCAAGGGGATGTAATTCTGTACATAGCCCTTTCAGACAATGCTGTACAATACACTGTACAGCCATATATGCTGACAACTAATAGCAATTTCAGACAACTCTGAGCATACCCTGTAGATTCGTATTTTTTCGCTCTCAAGTGTATTTA